ACTGCACTGCAGTGTAAAATCGTACTGCAGCAACTCCTTGTATCAGGGTGCTACCATACGGACTATCGTCCCCCACTAATAGGGCGAGTTCAGCCAATACTTAGTAATCTGCTCGCACGTTAATTTCCCCTCCATTAGGTAGCGCCTAAAGCGTCAAATCATTGCGAGAATATTAAATATCTCACGTTACGTTCAAACTTTTGCCTCGCTTTTTATTGCGCTTGGAACATGGGTAAGGGATGATGTATCCCTTTGTAAGAGTACGCCATACACAGCTAAATCAATAGCTCGAGTAATCAAAATGGACTATTAGCGGTTGGATTTGAATTTGGTCAACGCTAGAAATAGTGAAGTAGAGCACTCACTTCAATTCTTCGAACGCTTCCTCTTGTCATCTCCCTCACTTAAAACACTCTTTACATCCATATTTCGTCAGCTTATGCAGAGAGCTTGCAGTTATTGTGATACGTCTGACAGAACGTTCCTTGTGATCAGCCAACTTTGGAAAATCTTAGACTTCTGTCTGATTATTCGGTGTTGGTCAGTTTTCCTCTTGTTTTTTTTACCATAATGGGTAAATATCCTTCAGTCTGGCAGGACAGGATGTCCCAAGCAGTTGACCACGTGCTGTATAAAAGGGCACTTCTGCAAGTTTAGAGTCAACCCTTCATCCCGCAGGTGGCCCGGCACTGGACTCAAGGTCACCTAGCCGCATTATACAATGTTTGGGGAAGGAGTCAATCAAAGCCCTGCATTATAAAGCCAAAAATAACCAACATTTATTGAAATGAATGGATAATGGTGTGACCTTGTTTCAAGAAGAGAAAGTATTTACTGTGATATGAGGTTTATTTCATTTAAGACATTTCTGAGGAGTGAGGTTAGCATGGTCTGCCTAAACTTGGATTATATATTAACGCTCAACATTCTGTCTCCTCGTCAAAGTTTATGGTTGCTACAGTTTTGCGAAGTTTGCCATGCCATTCTTGACATCAGCTGATTTCAGATAGGTAGAAGTTAACTGTCCAAACTATGGAAGAAATAGATAGATAGATAGACAGAAAGCAGAACTGACATTTTTGAGAGATGTGAATTTGGTAGCAGAAATAATCAGGCAGTTTGCATTGGAAATGTCAGAGCCCTTTCTCTATTATGAGCTAATGAAGTATTTTGTCTGAGTTTGCAAAACGTCTGTATTATT